CCATAGTCAGAATTTTAAATTTGTTCACTGATTCCATTTTTCATGCAGTTATCTGCACCTCCTCTTCAAGCCAAGCAAAGACTTTTTGGTGTATTTTATCTTCATTATATTCCCCTTTCTCTATAATGATTCGTTGTCTTCAATTTCTTTTTCTCTTTGTTCTGGTAGGACTTTTTGGTTCTGTAGCAGCCATTGGAATGGTCATTGGATTCCACCGTATCAAAGCAAAAAACTTTAGCCACCTCTCATCTCAAAGACTTGAAGATGTGTTGGATGCCCTGAAACAAATCAGCAGTTCTTGGAAAATTTCTTTGTCTGTCGTCAGTAAGTCTTTTTTTCTTTAAGTTTTTCAAGTTGAGGTTATATGATACACTTATAAGCCTTCACATTTTGTGATTCTACAGGATTTACAGGAATTTTGTCAGTACGTACAGTTGAATGCTATTATGAATTATAAAAAAAATATTTTTGAAAGAAATTAATATAAAGATTTATAGACCCATAACATGTTAAAAATTGTGGAGTTTCAATTTTTTGTGATTTTACTTACTGACATTTTAGTCTCAGAAAGTAAAAATTGAAAAATAACTGCTTTTTTGTGATTGATTTACATATAGAATTTTAATGATGTATTTTTTGTTTTGTTTCCAAAAATTATGCATTTAAATAAAAGTAAAAAATAATGCAAAATTTTCTTTTCCTAATTTAGCTCTTCTTATTAAAAGGAAAGTTGGTTATGACTTGACAAATCTTGTCATGCTTTCATTTTATCAATTAACTATATTCTTTGGCTTTAATAAATGCTATGAAAACATTAGGATAATAGTGACATGATTTTTTTATTCATGCTAATTTCAATTGATAAATAAAATAAAATTCCTATTTCCACTGAATAAATTAATGTAAATTTAATGTAAACAATTAATGATCCAATATCTGTTTCTGGCTGCTTGTTACTATAACACAGCAAAAGTGACGCATCGTAGCTAGATTTCTGTTAGGGCAATACCATTAAAATGCTCTAACTTGAAAAATAAAGCTATTTATATTTTAATTTGCAATGTAATAATAATAATATGGGCTATGCAGTTGTACTCACCCAAATAGTAATAATCCAGTTTTGTATGTTTGCGATTGTTACAAAAGAGATGAAAAAATTACTAATTACCACACAAAATAATGAAATCTGTCAAATAATACTGTGTTAAAAAAAAAAAAAAAAAAAAAAAGAAAAAAAAGAAAATAGAATTAATTTCTTTGAATATTTCCACATTCTACAAAAATAATTTTTCTAAATTGTAAGCATATTATGTTAAAAAAAAAATTAATGCTAGACTACTGCTGATTAGGGATTAGTATAAGTACAAGTAAAGCTAACTTAAAGTTTTAATTGGAGTTAAAGCTTGGCAAATTACAGAGTAGCCACTCCTTATTTATTTGCAAGTAACTATAAAATCTATAAATAGGAAGAGACTAAATATCAATCCTAATGGTAGACATTGGCAGTCTTTAAACAAATGTGAATTATAACAAATCACTCAAAGAAACAGTATTTAAAATTCAAGACACTAAAATGTTTATAATATTTCTTATATGAATATTTAATGTATTCACCCATCTTTATTTAGTAGATTCATCTTTTGTGTTACATGAAATTCATATTCAGGCAGCAAGAATCTAAATATTTTTTATTGGATTTACCTGACAAGAACCTTATAAGTATAATTTATATCTGGAAGAATATTTTTAAGCAGGAACTTGTATTTTAAACCTATTCTTATCTATATAAATTTTTTTTTTATAAAACTCCCTTTTCGGTCCTCTTTTAGTTTCAAATTAACATTTCATTCTTCATATAACCCCAATTTAATATCATATGGTTAATATCTGGGTTTAATTTTATAAAACCTCTTCCTTTCAAGGCTAATACCTTTCACCCTCCCCTGACTTCTGTCTCATGCCTTTCGTCTGAATGAAACATTGAAATGGATAAATTCTGCATTAATTTTTCAATGGCTGTCACAGTTAAATTTCTATTTCCAACACAAATCTTTACAATGGGATTGAATAAGACTGTTCATTGCATAGCACTTTTCTATGTCAACATAAAATATTATTTTCACTGATGAATATCTTTGTTTAAATGTCCATATAACCACTCTGAAGATGGCTCATATGAGCCGAAAGCTTAGATCAAGGACTAACTTAATAAAAATAATATCCAAATGTTGGACAATTTTTGTCTTTATTTTCACCCCAAATTAAAGTAAACATAAAACATTAGAATGGCTCCTGATCAGGCATAATAGACATTCATTGTCTGTTATATTTAACATGTGTTTAAATAATGATCTGCTGCCCCAATACACTATATATATATATATATATATATATATAATAAAAAGAAAAGATGAGGAAAACTTTATGTAAATGCATTTCATTCCTTGAGGAATCAAGGTGAGTGTAGAAATTTTTATTTGATAACCTGTATTTATACACAGAAGTAATGTGGAGAAAAAATATTAAGTTATTCAAATTTTGAATTAGTGAATGCTCTAAATTATTATAAAAAATTACTGTGTAAGGAAAAATAAACTATGGAGGATTATCATTTTTCAGCTTATTGAATGAAACCAAGTTAATGTTGATGTTAATGATTTTTTAAAATTTATTGTATATTTTTATTTAATTAATTAATTTGTTTTTAATTTTTAAAGGTCCTGAGTTTACTGTTTTATCTGAATTTAAAAAAAAGTTATGGTCATGCATAAGTATGTCGGCTTAAGAAAGGAGAATTTCTTTTAAAAGAGGAAAAATTTGAAAATTCATGGGCATAAGTTAATATTTTGGCAAGAATTGATAATTTCACTTTCAAGTATTTTTCATCTAAGTAAGTTAGTTTCTCTTTTAATAAAAGCACAGCATTTTTGGGATTTAAAATTTATTTCTACATCTAAATAATGCATTGGACAAATTGTTATGTAGGAAATTTTCCTTATGTTCATAAATAAGTTTTTTAAATTTCTGCAAATTTTGCCAATATATTGTAAGGAACAGCTTTTAGAGTTTATTTTATATATGCTTGCTTCAGAATTATAGAATATATATATTTTAAATTAGAAGTAAAAACAATCAATACTTATTGCTCATTTCCTCTATTTATGTCTTACGTCTATAACTTTCAGAAGAGTTATTTTCAAGGAGCAAATTCAGTATTTTGAGTAGGTGAGGTGCTGGGCCAAATGGTAAAAATTATAATTAGTGATTAATTATTGGCAGAAATATTTTAAGGTTAATTTATAATCATTTGGGATTTTTTTGGTGGTGGTAGAGGGTTATTTATAAAATTTCTTTATTTTGATAGTTAAAAAAAATTAAGCTTTGTCTGAATAGGAGGAGGAGGGCCAGATCTGCACCCACTGAACCTCTACCTGCATTATCATTTATTTGGACTCTTGAAGTCATTCTTTTGTTTACTTTTTCTGTTACTAAAATGTTTTGACTGATTCATTCTACAACCTTCTTCCCGTGTAAAAATCCATAAGGAAAGATTGGGAATTTCTTTCTCTGGGAAATAGTATCATATGGAAAAAGGTGATGGCAAATTTATTTATTGATTCACTTTATTTGTCTCAATACACACTACATAGGTAATTCTATTCTCAGTAACATGGGTGACCTGTTTAATATTTGAAGATTTTATTCAACCTGGCCTGTTACTAAAGTGTTTTCAGTATGGAGGTGGCCTTTCCTTTAAGTTTGGATGGGGTAAGAATTTACACATTAAAATTAGTTTGCATTATATTCAGGGAGGGGCCAAATTATCTGGGGGATGCATACTCCATCAGTCCCCGCACCCTGGCAACAGTCTTGTCTTCAGCTCCTGTGCTAAGCAAAGAAATCCAGACTATATTGAAATCCACATTCTAAAGCCTTCTTGAGGTGTAAAATCTGTAGAATGGATTAGTTAAAACATGGGTTAAGCCCTCCTAATTTTCGAAACCGCTACTAGGAGATGCATTTCAGACTATAAATACTCGGTGATATTTTTCCTTGCTCTCTTCTTACCTAATCCACTTATTCATTAACATGTAACCTCTCATGGAGAATGCACTTCTTTTGGGAAATGCGTGAACAATGCATACACATACATACATACATACTTTGAACCCAAATGGTTTACACATTCATTATTGTCTTTGTTGCTTGTATACCTTTGTTGTTAATACATTATCATTTGTTTGTACATATATATTGGTTTTTGTCCTTTTACATTTCTTTTTATGTTGACTTACATTTCAAGTGTGCCATTTTGTTGTGGGTATTTCAGGAGACAGCATGTTTATTTCCCAATTTCAAACACCGACATTACTAATGCCCAAAACAAGTTGGGAAATACATAACCGGCCTGCAACAAACATTATAGTAACAACAAAAATAACAAAAATGAATTTGTTAGTCCAAACAACTTTTAAATTAACAACAACTCTCAGAATGAACACTTCCTGTTCTAATAAAATCATTTTTATTATTATACTTAACAAAAACTGTCATTAAATTCATTAGTTTATTAAATTAAAAATATTATATTTTTCTGTTATATTAAAAATTTGTTAATGAATGTTGACTAGAATAGAACTTTTTAGAGATATTATCCATGGATTTTATAAATTGTTAATTTGAAAAATTTTTTTAGCAATAACAAAGATTGTTTGTGTCTAAAAACATTATTGACTAGTAAATTACTAGAGGATAATGCTTTTAAGGCAAGCAGATTTTGTAAATAGTGCTAATATTAAGAAATAAAGCATTGATAGTGAATAAATAAATAAAAAGGTCAAGTACTTATCTCCTAATTCAGAGTTTTGGGGAAGTAATTTATCTTACCCCAAGGTGTGAGTTTTATGAGACTCTTATTTATTCATTCCCTATTTTCTTTTTAAAGCAGATAATGGTAATTAAAGTTAATTTTAAAAGTCCAGGTAATGGTTGGCAAATGAATGTAACTCTTTTTATTCTTCTGTTCTTTTCAGGCACGGTGATCTGTTTCACTCTCTTCAGATTTGCTGGGGTGAGTCTCACTCGTCAGTGGAATGCAACAACTCGTATTGTATTTGAATGTTTCTGCACTGTATTTGTATGGCTTGTTCTGACACCACAGAGGCACTGGGTGTCTGAGATGAACTACACTCCAGTCGGGTTGATTTTGCTGGTCCTTGGATTCAGTGCTTTCTACAACTTTGTTTTCTTCCGATGGCTGTGCCAATGTCCGACTATCAAATGCAAGAAAAGAGAGAATAAAGAATTGTTGCTCTCAGAGGAACAAGATGGTAATGTTGGAGGTAAGAAGATTCCTCTTTTTTATCATAAATTGAAAGAATGTTAAACAATTCTTATGTGGACTTGAGACTTCTAAACTTACCGATCAAAAAAGGAAAAAAATATGAACTTTACAAGGATACTGTGAAAGTCGTAGATTTAAAGAAACTTGCTGTTGTCACTGAATCGACATTGGCAACCACCAGATATATGGTGTAAACCTGCAAATGTATGAAATATAAATTAAAAAAAATAAAAAACAAATAATAATAATAATAGAAATTACTGTAAAACTGAAAAAATGCTTATGGATATTTGAAATTAAAACTGAAATAGAATTAAAACTGGGAACAAGATCAAGATCACCAGAAAACTGTCATGAAAAATATATTAAAAAATTCATTAAAATCATTAAAAATTATTAAAATATCATTAAAAAATCATTAAAATCATACCATTAAAAATTATTAAAATATCCTTAAGAATCATTAAAATATAAAAAAAATCATTAAAATCATACCATTAAAAATTAAAACAGAATTGAAATTTAGACCAAAATTGTAGATCACCAGAAAACTGTCATCTACTCTATGAGGATACTCCAAAAAGTTCTTGAGTTGTGAGGAATCTTGTTGTTACCATGCCTCAAGAACAGAATTTCTATTGACTGTGTTAGTATGCAACACCAAAATAATAATAATAGATATCAATATCTATCTATATATCTATCTAAAGAGTAGTGTAACCTTTCTGTTTCTTTCTTTTTCTGTCCATAAAAAATTTACTCATTGATTAATGATTAGAAACCTGTTCTTGCTAAGAGTAATAAGAGAATGTGTTGTTATGGTAATACAGTGTCACTCAAATAAATATATATGTTTATTACTTCAAACATTATCTTTAGTAGATACTGATTATTGAATAGATGCTCCATTTTATTTTAAACAGTATTTATTTTGTCTACCGTCTGTGTACTTGAGAAAACTTAATAAAGGAAATGTGCCCTTTCTTTTCCCTAAAACTGAAAAATAACCTAATGTTTTATTTCTCTTTTCTCTGCAGATGTCTAAGCAGCGCCATTTTCTCAAAGAATGAGCAGCAACATCCCAAACAATATCATAAAGTCAAAAATGTAAAAGAAAACAGAATTTTCTTTTATCTTTTCTTAAGCTCAATCTTTTTCCTGTTGTAGAGGTGAGTCAGGGACGATCAGAAACTGTTTGATTGTTTTTCACATTTTCTGCAAATTTCTTTTGCCCTATCCGTTTTTTTCTCCATTTTTTTATTTTAAATACACTCTCGGTGTGGTCAAATGTAGATCTCCCTTGAAAAAAATTCCTCACTCCCTAAAATTTATTCTGATTTTTGAGGAATAATCTTTTCTTTGTTTTCATTTTTTAAGTGACTGAAATATATGAGGTGAAATGCTGAATTCTTTTTTTAGAAACAGAAAATCTATAAAAAACAAATATAAGAATTATTTGAAAGTAAGGTGAAATGGATCACTTTTCATAAATTGTTTTTTTTTTCTTTTTAAAAGCAGAACAGAATATAAAACATTAATTAACTAAATTACTGATAAAAAACAGTTGTGTATTGCATTCACATACATTCTTCTCATAGATCTTCATACTTCTCTAGTTGATATTTCCTTGTTATTTCAACTTACTTTGATTTACCTGATCAGATGACAAGATCAGAATGCTGGGGGGTTAAAGTGATCTCAGATGGAAAGGTGAGACAAAGTTCCAAGTCTACTGCAGCAGTCAGTGTAACCATCAACCAATGATAGTTCCAGATCTGAACATATACATTAGTCAGTATTTTTTAAAAACATTATTTTTCATTAAATACAATATTTGATCTAATTGGATTCCTTTAAAATGATCATTATTTCATAAAATGATCATTATTTCATATGACGTTTGTTAGATTAATAAGAGGGTTATATTTAAAAAGAAGAATTATCAGTCTTTAAAGTATGATTTACAATTGTGGGATTATTTGTGTGTCAGGAGACTTTTCTTAATGCCCACTAGGTGGTGTTGTATAAAGCAGCATAAAAGAAAAGGACTCAGTCCATCCCTCATTTTTCTCTACTTTCAGAATTCTATAGTGACAAAATGTGTCTCCTTTTCTCTTTGGGAGAACTTAATCCCCAGGCATACTTGTATAGTGAACCACGGGGGTTTTTCTCTCCTTATCTATGTTATTCTGTATATAAATATATAAAAAGAAAAAAAACTTGTATGTATTGGATTTACTTATTTTGAAAATGTTAAGATGTTCAACTGAATGTTGTTACAGTTGGTAACCACTTTTCATTACAACAGATGGCCTCAACACAATCTGAACATACAGCCATCACAGTGTCATCAAAATAGTAAAATTCATCCACAGCATTTTTTTTGCTGATTTAAGTAGTAAAAAAAAATGTAAAAGAAAATATTTCATGTCTTTCGAAATATTTATTTCCTAAACAATGTTATTTGTTTTAATCCTCAGGAGTTCTGCATAAAGCAATGCATAAAAAAATGTTATCTGGAAATAAAACCTATGAATTGGATGACATAAAATAATAGTGATCCAAGTCCCCTCACTAGGCCTTGTCACCTTTTGAATGGCATAAAAAATAATAATATAAAAAGTTCTTTGCTTATTTATTTATAATTAAAAACTTAGAATTTCATAACTGATGCATTTATTCATTTTTTCTCTTTTTTTTTCTACATTTCTTCATATTTCAATATGATGTTATATATAAAGATATTGTATAATCAATCATTTATTGTATAACGCTCAGCGTTTGTCTCTAATCTTAAATTCTCTAAAACTACATGGTTATTTTTCATAAGACCAAATACAGACTTCAGACATTTCATTAAAGATAGTAACTTATATTGGCTGAGAATTTTTAAGCTTTGAAATTAGTTATTTAAGTGTGTGTTTTTTTTTTATTGAACTCTTAAGATATCATTCTTAATACTTTGCTGAATATCTAAGAATCTATTTTGCACAAATACTAAAATTATAAAGAGATACATGCAGATCTATTTCTCAATCTATTCCATCCATAATTAGTCATTAGTCATATTATTTTCTTAAAGTCAAAATGGTCACAATGAGAGACTTTGTTATATATACACAATTAACTTAATTGATACAACTATGCGGGTTGAAATCCACAGTTGTTTCATTACTGATTTCTTCAACAAGATTTTGTTAGCAACAGGAAGCTGAGATAGGCATCAACTTTTACATTTTTTCTATTTCCATTGCTATACATAATTGTCATGCTTGTCTAATAAAAAGAATCTGCCAACATAAAGCCTACATCATTCATCATGGAACTTCATCAGTAACTTCACATAAAATGTTTCCCTGAAAACATGAGCTTTTTTTATCAGCCTATCCCCCCCCAAATTATAATGTGGGAAACATCAGGTTATTTCATATACTGTATTTCCAACCATATAAAGTCCACATTTTTTCTCCAAAAATCATCTTGTGTGTTATAGTCTGATAGTTGTATTTAGATAGATTATAAACACTAGATGCCTTTGTGTGACACACTAATTTCCTGATAACCCCCAGAATAAAATATATTGATTATAAACACTTAAATTATGATTACAAATCAAAATAATGTTTATATATAAAATCAATAAATGTTCAATGAACTCATCTCATTTGATTGACTCCAGGGTTTTGTATTAGGGTCAGATTGTCTGATAAATATGACCCTGATGTGTGGTAGTACACAAAACTCTGGAGTTAATCAAGTAAGATAAATCCATTGAACACTTATTGATTTTTTTTTAATACTGACACTTTAGTTATCCATTGAACACTTTATTTGGTAAAAATTCTACTGGCTTAAAAATACATTTAATTCTAGTAAATTTTGCACACAAGTGTTAATTAGAATATTAGCATTAGTTTTTTCCTAAATATTCCTTACTAAATTAAAAAATTTGTTTAATATATATATATATATATATATATATATATATATATATAACATAATTCTATTTTTAGTAATGATAGATTTTTTTGGAAATTGTAATTGAAATTAGTTTTTTCTGAGTGAAAGTATTTTGAAATAGGTATTCTTCATCCAAAAATGAAGATAAAACCTAATTCTGCATCTTCTATTATTTTTTCTCCTTCTCTGATAAGTGTTCTAGATCTTTCAAGTATATAATCTTGATCTGTAGTTAAACGTTTATGTACACCAAAATGAATGTGGTTAGCCTAAAGAAGAAAGTAAAGACGTTTTGCAGTAAATGCTGGGTAGTGAGATCAAAGGCACGCATAGAAAACAATGCACAAAAACCAATGCTTGCTTCACTCATGTTAGAAATAATCATTAGGTTAGAACCTGAAAAGCAATTAAGAATTAGCTTAATTAATTTTTTTTTCTTCATATGACCGAGTTTTACCAGGATCAGAAACAGGCAATAAATTTTGATGATAATTAAAATTTAAAATTAATAATTTAAAAAATGAATTTAGTTAAGAATATAAATAATTAAAAACATTATATAATAATTTTTCTTTGATGACTTCTAAAATGTTAAATATAAATTCAGATAACACTTTTAATTGGAGAATTTGTTGCAAGTTTTACAAAGTATATTATCATATAAACTTTAAAAATACAATATATAACATTTAATTTTTGATGAGTAGCTATAGGAGTAAGGATTTAATTTACACAAGAAATACTTTAAAAAGAAGCATACCTGAAAACTGCATGACCAAAATGGAGGGGGGGGTACAACGATGAGGAGGAAATTACTTCAAAGGAAATCAAATGCAATGATTACGTATCATATATATTTTGAATTTGATAAAGTCTCTTTTTTAAATATCACAAAAGCGATAATTGCAATAAAGCAAAGAATGGACAATTTTAAAAAGCCTTAAAGAAATTAAATAATCATAATATTGGAAAAATAATTTCATCAAGGGAGGTAATTAGTATTTTCTTTTCCCGAGTTATCTCCCTGTTAGTATATATTTAATAGGACGCCAAAGAAAAATTTTTCAAATATCAAATTAAGAAGTCTTCATTTTATAGTCCTCGTCGCTTGATTGTCATTTTTCTTATCATTACACATGTTTAAGATATTATTTTTTATGCATAAACTCTTATACCTTTAATTGTTTAACATTACTATTAACTTTTATAATACATTTTTAGTGTTACAATGGGTGCTTAGATAAATGGACTAAAAATTGAGACATCTTTAGTCCCATGTAAAGTGCCTATATGGTGAAACCTGTTATTAAAAGACTCACTTAGGAGAAAGAGAATTGTAATTTTCAGCTAGTGGAAAAGAGTCTAGTTTCTGCCTTTCATGATATCAGGCTAATCAGCAAGGCATCAAATTGTATTGTTTGTAATGATTATTAATCTTTTGTTACAATTAAGACAATACATAGTTATAAAAATAAAATATAATAGGCATTAATCTTTTAAAAATACATATTGCAGTAGGCAATTTATGTGTCTCTCTAAAAATAAAAAAAATTACTACCTTTGTCCAATAATAGTTGTGATATAAGCTTATGCATTTTAGAAAACAAAATCCTTATAGGACAGAAGCAGTAACAAATATGTAGATTGAATTAATAGAAATTAAAATGATTATTGATATCCTTAAGAATAACATGTAATTTAACATATAGTAAGTAAAAGCTTACAAAAATTATTTTTTCACATTCCTCTGAATTAGTTATTCATATTTTTATTTTTTTTTCTATCACAATGATGATCTTTTTCAAAA